GCTTATTTGAAACCCAATTCCTGGTTATTAGGTTTAGGACTTAGGGTGTTAGGTTCCTATTCTGATTAGAATTACTTTTCCCTATTTAAAGGGGCTTGTAACCCTAATTGGGGGAGGCTATTGAATCTGAGATTTTGAGAGACTTTTCTCTTTGGTTCGTTTCAGAACTTTATAGAACTTATCAAGATTATTCTTGTGCCGTTCTAACCTGACTTTTCATTCTCGTTCTTAATTGTTCGAGGGTGTGGCGTCAACCAACTTTATACCTCTGGTTTTTGTTGCGTCATAGACAACGGGTCAAGGTTTTTACCTTTGGTTCTTGTTGCGTCATAGACAACGGGTCAAGGTTTTTACCTTTGGTTCTTGTTGCGACATAAACAATGGGTCAAGGTCCTATTATAAACCTGATTTAGCTTTCCTAGAGTTTAAAAATCCCTTGTCGTGCTGTGGGTCTCATTGTTCTCTTTGGGGTTCTCATCAGGTATAACTTGGCAATGGCTGCATCTTGCTTCTCCATTTTGTCTTTAATTTCACCAAACATGATGTCTAGCCTCTGAAATTGTTGTTGCATAGCTTTGAGCATGAAGGAATCATCCACTTGGTGTTTTCTGTCATCACCACTTGACATGATTGAAACTTGCAACGAATGTTAGAAACAGAAGAATAAAAGGACCTCACAACACTCCCTTACGTGTTTCACTCCACTCTCTCACAGAATGGCACTCAACACTCATGTTTTACACACTGTAGAACTTGGATTTTCTCTCAAGTGTTGTTCACACCTCTTGCCTTTTTCCCTCACTCAACTTTCCTCTTTCAGTTTGTTATTGAACTAAACAAGCTCAATTCAAGTTATTTTGCAGCAATCTAACTCCAACAAATCTGCAAGAGTTAAAGGAAATAGAAAGACACAAAGGAATGAACAAGAAAAGCAATAAAAGAACCAAACCCAAACAAATTAAAACAATCAGATTAGTTCAAGCACTTCCTAGTAGGAATTAACTTGACTATTCCTTAATGCAGTATGATTCCTAACTTAGGAAGGAATAAACAAAATT